TTGTGTCCGACGATGATTGCCGTAGGCGCGGCTAGAACAAACTTTGATGCGGATACGGTTGCGCCTACGTTCTCTAGGCGCTGTAGAATGCGATTGACAACAATGCAATGCTCCCAGATGAAGCGCCGGATTCCTGCATTTTCGGGTATCGTCTCGTAAGAACCGTCTTCGCGCTGATAGCGCGTTCGCACTGATTTGATCGGAACATCATCCACGAATGGCGACGTGAATTCTGGAATTTCGTGTTGCAAGATAAACGCGGTATCGCCTTGGTAAACCTGTACAGCATTAGCATGTCCTTGAGGAAGAGTGGTTAGCCGATGAGGACCCAAAGGCGTTCCAAAGGTCGTCAAGTCGCGCGAATCTACGTGAAGCGCGCGCTGGTCATAACCTGAATATAAGTCCAATACAGCGTACACCGCGTATCCGGCGAACGCTTCCGCGAGAAGTTCAACAAAAGGCGGAAGCGACGCGTCGCGAATTGTTACCGCATTAAGCGGCTGCAAGTCGTGAACTAGGCGCAAGGATTTTCCATCTTTCTTTACTACGCAGAACCAGCGCGAGCGATACGCGGCCGTTGATGGTTCATATACTCCCGACGAGATCTTCTCCTTGATGATGCGCACTACTTCATCTAAGGTGGCTGGCGGGATCGGAATATTGCGCTGAGACCAAGGCGTGTGCGGAACCGTAGGAATCTTGTATGGCGGGAAGTAGGTCTCATTGAGGCGCCCGCGCTCTGAGGCGTCCCATGCGAATGCGAGTTCGTGTACGCGCACGAGCCAGCGCACCAACTTGAGTTCTTCTGGCCATAGCCAATTTGCTGGGTCAAGGTCTAGTTTATCTGCGCGCGCCTGCGTAAAGCGCGCGCCTGGCGTGAATTCTGGAGGATGGGTGGGTAAGTCGGGTAATCCTGCTAACGGGTCATCTGGTAATTGGCGCACTACCCTATACTCTGCGGGCATAGTGGTAGGTACCGTGCGCACTTTCTTCGCGACTGGTTTATAAACCAGCGCGTGAAGTACGGGATCATAATAATAAAAGGAATTAAAGGCGTCGATAGTCGCCTTATCTATAACGGTCTGCGTGGATGTTAGATGCGCGTAACGCGCTGAATACTGCGGGATAGAAGATGAAGAAAATTGATGCGTAGAGACTAAAGGCGATGCGTTGCTGCTCCTTAAGAGCGAAAAATGGGACGCGCTATCCGCGCGCGCTATGCGCGGCGCGTTAGGCGTGATGCGAGAATGCGAAACTTGATGCGATAAGGAAAATACTTGGGAAGACGAATGCGTATGGGCTTCTCCCCGCGAATGCTGCAGATCATCGATACTTAAAAACCCTGTTCCTCCTCCTTGAGCGCGTGCGAGTGCGCGTGACTCGCGCACTTCGCGTCTCTTGCGAGCTGTCGCTTGACCCAAGGTAGGGTTGGAATGCGCAGTTCTTTGCGCGCGTTAGGATCAGTCAGTATGAGATCCTGCTCTCCGTCGGGCAGATCAAATGTGCGGCACGAGGTAAGCTTAAAGAATGGGCGCCCTAGTAAAACTTCAAAGGTCGCGCGCTCGATGACCTGGACTTGGAAGTATAAGGGTCCTGCGCCAAAATCAAGCGGGACGTTCTCTATGACTCCTAGCGTCGCGTCACGTGACGTGTTTACCGATTCCATATTGAGGCTATGGTCCGACCTGAGCGGTACGCCGAGCTCTTTCCATACTTCCCTTGGCATGACTACTACTTCCGCGCCTTGATCTAAGACGCAGGTGAGAGTGCGCCCTTCCAATGTCTTAGCGCGAATACAGCGCAGGGGCGCGAAGTGATCCGCGACGATTTTACCGTCGTCGCTTCACATGCGCACATCCTCGTATTGCTTGAGCCATTGGTCGGTTGCGGGGTGCCCTGATAATTCGTGCACAGATACTGCGCCTACTGTGACGCGCTTCTTGGTCGTAAGTTCGCGGAAATGTTGGCGAACGTCGGGAGATACAGCTAATAATTCCCTTACTGGGATATTGAGATTGGAATCGAGAAGGCGCTCGACAACGCGTTTGTCGGCCTCCTTGTCTTCAAGCGCGAATGCATAACGATATGATGATGACTGTGCTGGTGCTTGGGTTGGTGTTGATGACGACGATGGTGGCAATACTGAAGATTGAGATGGGGATGACGACGATGACGATACTGGCGCGGACGATGATGGTGTTGACGATGCGGGCGAGGCGCCCTTAGGAGGCGCCTTGGCGCTTGTTGGCGCGCTTATTGGCGCGCTTAACGGCGCTACTTTCGCTACCTCTTTTCCTTTACCTTTGTCAGACGAAGCCTGTATTTCGGGAGAGATTATCTCCTCCTCTACCGTGGCTTGCTTAGATGCAGGTCTCGGACGCGCGCGCGTTTCGCTGGGTATTTCTACACCATCGAAGCGCACACTTTTACCTTTGGCATTGCGCTTCTGGTCGCGCCTTGCAGCTACATAGGCTATCGCTTCTGTCATGAGATCCACCGTCTCGTCGTCCTCTTCGAGTTCCGTTTGCGCGACTGTGTGCACAAACGCAGATGAGCCTACATCAATTACCGCGTCGATCTCGTCGGACGCGCGATAGAATAGTCCCGCTGTCGCGCCTGTACTAGCGGTCGTATCCGGTGTCGCGCGACTTGCATGATGTCGATCTAGACGATCCTTGAGTAATCCTCGGCCTGGAATCCAATCGCCATTTGGCAAAACAAGCTTGCGCGTCTCTTCGCTAACCTTACATTTACCCGCGTCAATATACCTTTGTTTCTCTGCGCAACGAGGGTAGTAATGTTCGAGACTGCCGCAAAAGGCGCAGTCATTGAACGTAGGCGCGTCGCGCTTATATTCGCGCTTGGTTACTGTGCCTTGCGCGGGCGATTGCGCTGACGTGGTAGCTGTGACTAGGTTAGTGAATGGCGCTGCCGTAGGCGCGCTAGGCGTCGCGCTTGCTGCAGGCGCATTCGCGGGCAGAACGAAATGTCCAGCTGTAAAGACGTCCATGAACGGGTATGGATCCTGCGGGTAGTGATCAGGAATTTTAATCATTAGGCGCGTGCGTATTAGCGCCTGAGTATCCTTGGGAATCCCTTCCATGAATATGCGATCGCGCTCGGCTTTACCAATGCGATCTTCTGCCAATAGCGGTTGCATGACTTTCTTGAACACGCGAAGGTAGTTGCTTAACTCCTGGTACGAGGGCATCGTCTTGTTCGCGTATTCGTGCGCGATGGCTTGTAGGTCCGAAAGCGCGTAGCGCCTTTTGCCATCCCATCCGGGATACATTACCTTGACTTCTTTCATGAACGCGTTGTAATCGCTTACTTGCGCCTCCGGCATTCCGCCCCATAATTCTCGGTCATCGCGCTCAAGGTAGCGGATGATACCCTTAATGCGATCGAGACCTTGTAGACCTACATCGTCAGCGAGCTGCTCGTATAGGTCGATAAAGTCGGCGAGGCTGTCGGTTGTGCCATCAAATTTAGGCGCGTCCGTTGTTCCACGGACAGGCATTCTGGTTCTTACTGTGGACATGACGGGCGGTTGGGAAATTGCAGGCGCGGGGATCTTGTGACTGACAAGTGCTTGGCGCGTGTTCGCGAAAGGAAGGTTTGATATAAAGGTACCGCCTGGGATTGAAAATGGCGCGCGCGGGGTTTCTAAAGCTTCTTGCTTGATCTTAGGTATTCCCGTTGTAGGAAGCGCGTTCTCGCGCGCAGGAACTACTGGCGCGTTAAGTGGAGTGTCGCTAGAGTCGTCAAGCTCGGTTAGCGCGCTTAGCGCTGACAGGTTAGAAGTATTAAAAGGAGGTTGATTGGGCGTGTGGAGGAATGTTCCGGGAAGTTGGCTCCTTGGGTTATCTATTGCTTCGAAGCCGTCGGATGACTCTTCCTTGACGGATTCTTCAGGCGAGGGCGTGACTGGCGATATCAGTTGTCTAGGCGCGTGCGCGAAGAGCGCTGGATCTGGTCGCGGAGGTTCTGATATATTGCGCGAACGACCGCGCGTGTGTTGAATGAATAAGGGTCCTGGTATAATGGATTCTACCGCTCTGTCGAATGCGGCGATGGCTTCTTCTCTGGCTATGCGGCGACTGTTGGGTCTGAGGCGCCGACCTTCTATCTCAGAAGTGTCCCTCGCGGTGGGCTCCAGTTGTAGATGAGGAATCTTGACTATACGTGAAAACACTTAAAACAAAAGGGGTGCTCAACAGCAAGACCGGGATACGAGACAAAGACTCGACCCAAAGGACAACCACTGAGAGAAGTTCCTCGAAATAAAGTGGAGGGAAACTCTGTGAGCTAGGCGGGCGCTAATAGGCGCGAGAAGATAACGCGCGCGAAGGCGCGCGTGCGCGAGGCGAAGGCGCGCGAGATGCGCGCGTGAGCGGGAGGTCCGAGAATGCGCGCGCGCGAAGCGAAGGCGCGCCTAAAGCGTTAGAGGCAAGATCTTACTGAGGAGTGAGTGCAAAGGTGGAGGATTGACAGGAGGATATGATCAGATAACAAGTGGGGAGGTGATCTATTCACTTTCCAGTCTACAAAGATAAGGGAAAAGTAAGTCCCAGAACTAAAGGAAACCCTTCTGTATTTAAGAATGGAGAAGGCGCGCTTCCGAGCGCGCTCCCGAACCGAGTAACCATATCAACTCTAATTATAACTAAGTTTAAATAAACTTTCCATAAGTAGCGCGGATGTCGGACCGAAGATTTTATTAGTTCAATGGATAAGATAGAAATAACGCACCAGCGAATCAGTAAGGACATGGGACGGATGGACGGACGATAGCGCGAAGACCTATGAGGAGGCGCGCGAACGCGCGCGCGAAGCGCGCATAGCGCGTGCGTAGGTAAGGCGCGCGTAAGTGCGCGCGAGTTCGGATAAGGCGCGCGCGAGTGCGCGCGAGACTGGTCCTTAGGAGTAGAGCTGTAATGTATAGGAATGTATGGTTAAAGGCCGGATATTCGTCATTGAGACGCGCGAGTCTCTACAGCGCGAATGTCGGGGAAAGCATGTGTCAGAGCATGCACCTTAGGGAAATTCCAGTTCTTCGTCAAATCTTCGCCCTGGATGTCGATATATGCCTGAAAATATGTTAGATACAACTAAAAGTCAAAGGAAAATGGTATATACATACATGTAAGCGTGTCCCGAATACTCGAAGCTCTGCTTCGCCAGCAGTGAGTGTTGCTTCGGTATGCACATCGAGCGCTATGTACATAGTCAGTCGCAGGTAGCTACCTATACACTGCATTAGGGCATAGCCAACAGGATCTTCACTGCGCTTCAACACATTTTGTGCTGAGTACAGCATTTGCTAGAGTCCAGAGAATGTTAGTAGGTATATTGATATACAATGTCGAATAGTGTACCTTCGCAATATCTCTGAGTTTGTTGCCATCGCTAAATGATATTGTCATGACAGACTTGAAATGATTCAAGTCACGCCATCTTGGAAACGCTTCGAACCTGCAGAGTCTTGTAAGCGATATTAATGTAGAAGGTAATATGAAATATACTTACTGTTTATCGATTTTCGCCTCGGCCTCACGACCAAGTGCCTTTGCACGGACTTTGAGCTCCCCGAAAAGGTGGTTGCCCCAGTTACCAATGTCATTGACATGTAAGGGATCGAATGAGAGCGTCTCATGAGGATCGGAGTTGTTGACTTCCCAGAGCGCATTCTAATGGTAGTCAATTGAGTGAGCTTATGAACGAAATCAAAACACAAACCGCAATGGGGCGTAAACCATGCACCTTCAGGACTTCTGCCCCAGCAATGCGGTCCCTCAAATACAGCTCTAAAAAAGCTTTTGCGTCTTCGACAGTTCGAGTAGGATATGTTGCGTTGAGGTCAGAAAGTTTCGTCGAGGGAATACAACAGACAGGGCAGGGACAATTTGAATGTAGCCCGCGAATTAATGCCATCACGCATCTGTAAAATGTTAGTTAGCATGATGTAATACAAGCCTCAAGAATACACACTGTTCTTCATAATCTGCGGACAGAAGTAGGATTAGTGGGTATAGCCATCGCATGATGGCGTCAAAGCATCTGTGCGCAAAGCCTGTTTTGGAGTACAGGATGATGGATTCCAACAACTTGATGAACGCCTTATGCCAGACAACACGTTTCATGTTTGTGTAATTGAGTTTTCCATCTTCATTGGAATCTGTAGGAACCTGTTGAATTAGAACTTGTTATGCGTACCTACTAATATTATGATTGATACTCGAACACTCACAATCGGCAGCCAGCCCACCACACGACCTCCTCCAATTCCGTCACTGTTTCTTATGTGAACAGGAAGATTTGCGCAATGAGCTATCACTGGGTATGCCTTCACGTGCCCAGATGAAGTGAGATGTGTTTTGTCGGCGTAGAGGATGAAGGCGAATGGAACACCGTTGTTCGGCAACGATGACTATGATAGATCGAGTACAGATATAACACATATATTAGCAGCATACTACAAAACATGAATACATAATAGTGCATACTTGAATTCGCCACCACCGATCTGCGGTCCAAGGCTCGTGAATAAACTGTTTAAAGTCAGTACCATCGTGCTTGTACAAACGTTGCGCGTCCCAAACGAAGTGCGGTGCCAACAGGGGATCTTGCAACAAGTCCATAGCCCAATCCCACAGCGGCCGTGTATGTACGTCGAATTCGATTTCCTCCTTCTTGTAAGGGATGGAGATGACGTGCTTCTTGAACTGTACGAATTATACCTGAATACTCAGTAAGCAGAGTGAATGAAATTTAAAACATCTCACAGTCGTCATTTGAGTGGCTGCTCGATCCCAGGCCTTCGACACTTCAGTGTGAGATCTGAACGTAAACTTCGCTTGTCCCTCAGCAATCTGCCATATCAACTGCAGCATTTTGTCGGTTTGATCCTTATTGAGTGCCGCTTGGTGGGCAAGTTCTGCGAATTCGAAATCTGCGCGGCATGTAAAGGGTTGCCAAGGTGTGTTGTCGACGATGGGCGTGGAACTGGCCTCTGCCTCAACAGGGTGTCCAAAGGTGGAAAAGGTCTCAATGGCAGGGGTGCGTCCACTGTTTGGGTGATATTCGGTTTTGAATGTATCACAAGCGATAGGGACTGCAGTTGCTACCGCAGACCTGCTTGTCAACATGCTTGTGTCTGAGCCCGATCCTAATAATAAAACATTATATGTAAGTTAGAAACAAAACGTGCAAGAGTGATACACATACGTAGACAGGAATCCCCCCCAATGCTCATAACACCATCCTCCACGTCACCAAACGCGTTGTCGTCGGCACCTTCGACATTTTCTATGTCATAATTGGCATGCTGATCATCCACTGGCTGTGAAGGTCCAGTAGTGTCAGCCACAGCTACCTTGTGTCCATTTCGGAGGTGTCGTTTATCCTTTCGATGTTCTGATCAACATATGTCAATATAAAATCTGACGCATCGTAATGTTTGAAGTCCAACGAACTAAGTAAATGAATTGGAACGATGGCGTACCTTTCCTTTGGGCCTCAACTACCTGAGCTGCAATATCAGCAAACTCCTTGTCGCGCCGTTTCTTCTCCCACTTGCGTGAACAGCTCCCCTTGTGTGACTTGATGCCACGAGCAGAAAATGATCTCTGACAAAGCTTACATCGGACCTGTGCAGAGGATTGAGTTGTTGACTGTACATAGGCCCGTCCTTGTGTAGATGACATCTAAAATACAGAATTAACAAGAGATTGATTGATGATTGATGATCGAAGGCGAATCAGTGATTGCAAGTGTGATGCGGCAGTCTAAGGGCAATATGATATTATGATATGTCACCAAGAACGTTGATGCGGCTGATTATTAATATAAACTGTATAGTCCTTCTAAGCCAATTCCAAGCCCCTTGGACCTTTGTCAGCCTGTTGAAACGCAGCACGGCATCTTGCGAGGCACCAAAAGAAGTCGGTGCCTTTGCCAGACACTCGAAATAGACTCGGTCCGACTTGAAACTCGGATGCAATGAGGTTGGAAGGCATCACAATTCAGTCCAAATATAGCAGCCTTCCAAGCCCCCTTTAGAAATTTCCGACATATGCACCTGCTTTTGGAACAGAGAGCAAGTGCTGAGTCCGTTCTGCAGACGTCCAAAGTCGTGACTGTGTTGACTGCAGCTGCTCTTCTCTATACCCGCTCTGCAGGAGTCGCTTTTTTTGTGACCGGCGCATTGTTGTGTTCAAAACTTACTAAGGTTATCAAGAAAGCAATACGACAAGAGCGCCCATCACAGTTCTCTGGGCGTAAAGTGTCATATGGGTGCGGAAACTCGATCCACTTCCATTAGTGCGTACAGACGTCTGATTACATTGTCAACACAGGATGCCTAGCTCACATGCATCCACATGCACCTTCTTCGCTGTATATATTACCTTTGCTTGCCTTGAGCTACCTATCCACTCTGCCTTCCCTCGTTTCGCCATGTTCGCCCCAGTGGTTGTCTTACCATGGACATGCATGATAGCTATGTCCAGGGTCCGGCTGGGCCATCACACGTGGCCACAGATTGCGGCAGGAGCTTTACTTGGAGTCTGCTGTGCCAGTCTTTGGTTCAAACTATGGGTGGATGATGTGGGTGGGATCATGACAATTTTATCATCAGCGAATGTCGAGTTCACTGTTGTCTCACTTATCTCACTTTTTTGGGTAAATTAAGCGCAGCATATCTCCGATCTTTATTTGCAAGTTGAGCGGATCCCTCTACTTGTCTCGCACTTTTCTCGTTTTCAATAACTGTTGATTCAAAAAAGTAACATTCCATTTTGAATTCATTTGCACCCCACCAGCCTTCCGACAGCTCCCAGTTTCTAGGCTGATAGGTAGCACCCAGCTGAGCGGGCGGGGCAATTTTGACATAGACGACACACTACGCTACGCCTGTTCGATGTTCACTAGCAAAAGGAGGAGTGGACTAAATCCATCCGGCTAGTATAGGTATCTTGGGAAGACAACCTATTGCGAGCGGCTGAGATGAGACTGGACGACTTAAATGCCTACTGATTATAATGCTTTCAAGGTTTGGATACACGTTGAAGTAGACAACATTGAGGACTAATCTTTTCCGATTTTACCTGACTCATGCCCTTTGCGTATGATCCTAGGATGCACTGTAGTTTTGGGTACAACATTTAGGAGTATCTAGTCCGCTCGGTAGTCTTATGAACGCCGACAAGAAGCATTCTAGCGACTATCACTGAAAATGATCGATTGAGGGATGTATTGGGAACAATGGGAAGGACTTGTTGATCGAACTTTATAGAACAAAGCGATGCTCGTTTGTAGTCCTCCCTAAACAAACCATATGAAAGATGTCGAGTTATAATAAACGCACGCGAAATTCGGACCTTGCCAAACGTCCAAGCAGCTAAAAGCAGGGAGTAATGAGATTGTTCATTAAAGGGAGGTCGGGAGAGGCCGGGGGCAGGCTGCAGCCAATCAAGTGTGTACTGCGGCGATGTGAACTAAATCTGTCACTGATGGAGTTGACACTGCTGTTGATACCCCTTCATATGGAACTGCAAGTTAAAACTTGCGTTATGCGGTACCGCATTGTCGGCTATTCAAGTTCGGTTATTAAACAAAAACTGCAACAGATGGGTCGATACTTGGAACTCACAGAAAATCACGTTGAACCTTTGAATAATAGTAACGCCAGCTAGCTACAGCCGCAACTCGGCACCACGCCGTTGCTTCAAAGATTCCGACTGCACACGAGAACGTTATCAATCACTGGCCGCAGTGCACTGGCAGGCATGGTGGCACAGCGAAGTTTCGGTTTCGTACGTATTTTGATTACTAATACTATTAGTACTTTTACGGACAACATAGTGCTTATATAATCTCATTTAAGTAGAATCAAACTCTTTTTCAGCGTCACAGTTGTGCACTGCAGCGAGGAGAGCTCCGGCGACGTTGAGCACAGTTAATTCACAGGTGAGTGCCACGAGCGTGCATTCTACCACGTGTGCTCCCGCGTTCGTTTCAGGAGAAGAGATCTATGATTGTGATGTTCCACAGATCTGTGCCTGCCCTGTCTTCTGATCTTGATTCTTGACAGGCCGAGCCGCGACAAAAACATATACTTACTCCTTTCTCTTTGTTTTAACAGTTTGCGACCATCTACGACTGCAATTTCGTTTGGCCGATATCCGTGGTATTCTTATATAACCACTAAACTCAATTGCATACCCGAGAACGTGACACTGGCTCCACACATCAACCAAAACGTTTGTGTCGCTCCACCTGAAAAATTCTCTCATATTCATCGTACCCATCACAGGAAACACCAACCGGCAGCATATGGCTGCCCAGGAACTTGCCCGCTGGACACGCTTCGCCGCTAAGGGAGGTGTTGGGCGGTGTACAGCAACCGTAGATTGTGTCGCAAGGGAAATTGGTGATCTCATGTTTCTCAAGGTGAGTGTCTGAGTACAGCGGTTCGTTTTCTCGTAGTATTTTGGCTGTTTAGTTGAGGATGCAGTCGGGTCCAGTTTCAGCCGGGAGTCGAGATAATTTTGACCGAGACATAATCTCGTATGACCATTGTTCGAGAGTGGGGCCGTGAGGGAGCACCTCTTAGTCTTAGTATCGCTGTCTCTGTGGAATCGTTTTTTGTTCAAAATGCTGATGTGCATCGCCCCTAGGACGATGAAATCACAGTGTTGATGCAGCTTCCTGAATCTGGGTATTACTTGGTGCGTGTTCTTCTCTGTGATGTTCCTGTGATGTCTCCCCTTGTACATTTACCATATTTTCTACGCATCTTCCACGTTTTTAATACTTCCTTTTGAATATCATTCATCCATTTGATCCTGTCCATTGGGTCAACACACCACTAACATCGATTCACCACCAGGGCTTCTGCGAAGGTGTTGTGGGACGTTTCTCTGGCGTAGACGTGAAATTTCACGGGAAACTCAAGCGACCTATCATGGCAAAACGAGGATCCCTTGGTGTTGCCGACACACGTCCCATGTCACTTGAGCGGGCATCACCGTCCTGGCCCGAGAGCTCCAGCGTCACAAGGGCAGGCAGTTCTAATGCGAATCGTCCTGGAAGTTCAGTGGCAAGAGCCGACAGTGTTTCAGACTCACGTCCCGGAGGCTCCCCAGTCAGACGGAAGCCACTCTCACCTGACATGTATCCATATTCGTCCTCCCCTGAGCGCCTGAGGGAATATGAGCGAACGAGGGGGCGTGCACACGAGTTGACAGCGTCTGTGTCTGGGTCATCTGTGTACTCAGTTGTATCAACGTCAAGTGCTGCCTCGACTACGTTCTCCGATGGCGATGGGTGGTATAATAGCGAGGATTCGTTTTTGTCGAGCCGAGTGGTGCCGTCGTCTTCATCCGGTTCAGTGCAGGCTTCGTCGAGCACAAAATCGGTGCCTACCTCGTCTTCATCAATGGATTCAATGCCAACATCTTCATTAAACTCCACCCCAGCTACCTCGAGTGCGCAATCGATCCTTTCTTTGGGCTCAACACACATTTCTTCTGCAGGATCTGTGGAGAAGCTCCTTCAATCTCTGTCGAATCATTCACCTTCGATGTCTCAGTCCACGTCAGGTTCCATTTCTACATCAGCTTCTGAGTCCATGGCAGGAATCTTTCTGAATTCAAGCACAACGTACGGCTCCTTGACCTCCGCGCCCACTTCAAATTCGTCGTCGTCTTCCACCAATTTCGTGACCAATGCAACGAAAGGGCTGACTGTGGCTCCGCTGCGCCTCAGCAAGTCGCCGCGACTCACAGCGAGCCCGATACCATCGCCACTGTCGCCTTTGCTTCCATCACCTGGATCGGGAACAACTTCACGCGCTTACTCACCTCTCCCATCACGCTCACCATCTTTCACGCTCCCCGCAAAGGGCAGTCCACCACGCTCACCTCTCCCTCCACCGCCAGCAGAAATACCGCAGTCTCCGCCATCCTCACCGTCCACTGCGTCGTCAGCACCAGAATCGAACTCGGACGCAGACGATTCTTCGCTATATCTTGATGATGACAATGATGATGAACACGATGAGAGCACGCAGTTTTCTGCTCTGCACCGCCATCTGGAGGGCGCGGAGGAAGAGGAAGACGGGGAGACAGGCATTGGGTTGAGCTTGCTTGGAGCACTTGCAATGGATGATGAAGATGAGGAGGAGGAGGATGAAATTACAAATAGTTATCGTGATCAACCACGGCTGGAGGTAGGAGCAGGAAAACATGATTTGGGTGATAGAGCGGAGGAGAGTACTGCGACAGGTGGAAGTACACCCATTCCATGGACCAAGTATACGCCTTCTATTTCTGCGTCCCCGACAGTCGAGCATGAGGTGAACAGTAATGCGCCGCATGCATCGTTCAAGGCAGCGACTATGCAAGACGACGCCATGACGCAGGTCGACGAGCCAGGGCAGCACCTAGAAAGGGAAGGTGAGATGGGTGAAGACAAAGAGGAAGAAGATGAGGACAAGGAAGATGAAGATGAAGATGAAGATGAAGATGAAGAGGGCTACTGGGCTTGTGCATCCGACATATATGACGACTACCGCTACTCCCGCCAAAGCTTCTCATCTAAGCGCATGTCCACAATCTCCGTAAAGTCGAAAGCGCGCACGTCCGTTCTCTCGGGTGGTGGCAAGGTCCCTCCCATACCGAGCTTCTCGCCAGACAGGCTCAGCTTCGATGTATTATCACGTCCTAGCGTCTCGAGTGGACGGCCCAGCGTCTCAAGCGGACGGCCCAGCGTTTCAAGTACTTCAAGTCCAAGCCAGCCAGACCAGGCCAACATCCAATCCACGCACACCCATGCGACCACCTCCATATCCTCACGACCCTCCTTCGAGTCATTGTCTTCTGTAGATCGTGGTCCGCCTGTTTCCCTAGAGCATACACCTCACGGCCCTGTCGACGGCCCAGAGGTGCGCCTGCGCCCGCCCGTCGCACGTCAGCTCTCTGCAGGCCACGAATCCATGCGCACGCCCTCAACCTATTCGGTGCAGGCATTGTCTCCGCTCAGTGCGCAGTTCCCCCAAGTCCCGACTAGGGTGCCTAGCAGGCTGCGAGTGATGAGCACGGATATGGAAGACAAGAGTGAGGGTCCGAGTTTAGGTTCGGGTTCGGGAGGGGAAAAACCTCTCTCACATGCGATAAATCCGGTGTCTCCCTTGCTTTATGCGTCGTTTGGTGCTAACGAACGACATTCGGGCTACACGGAGGAAACAGAAATGCAGTCATCTGGGTATTCGGAGTCAGATGATGGGCAAACGTCTCGTAAGTCGCGAGGGCTGCGGTCAAATGCAGGGAGTCTGCGGTCACTTGTTTCGTCTACAGATGGGTCTAGTGTCGTGTCTGCACGGCGCACGCGTACGGAGAGCGGGCACGAGCAGCGCGTTGGTCTCGGGATGCACCTTGTGATGGATGACGACGACGAAGATCATCCTGTAGTGGATAAGGATGCACGTGTTGAAGGCGATACGTCATTTATGTCGAGCGAGGCTGGGACCGTTTCCACAGAACGTACTGTTACTCCAGCGTCGCTCTTGCCATCGACGACAGGTGTGCCACCTGCGCTTATGCCTCGGGCACCTGCAGCACTTATGCCAGGATCATCATCTACACCAACATCTGGTGTTTCACTTACCCCCGTCGCTTCGTCAGCACTGAGTCCGAGTGCACCATCAGCAGAGAACTCTCCTTCAGGCCAAAACGCACCGCCACCTTCGACTTTGCGTCCCCGTCAGCCCAACCAAACACCCCATCCCTTCTCACGTACATCGATATTCCTCCCTCATCCCAATGCTCCCAAAATAGCTCCGGGAAGCCAGGGGCTGGGTCCCATGTATGCACGACCCCAACATCCCACTGCAAACCCTGTGCCAATACCCTCCGTGCAGCCACCGCCCAATGCCACAGCGTTCTCCGCTCAAGTTCTCCGCCACCTTAGGAGTATCTTCCTTGGTCCTGGTGTTGGCGCTGGCGTACGTAGGCCGCCGATGACGCTGTATGCTCGCTGCGAGCCCGATTTGAATTCGAGTACCGGCCCCGTGCCTATTATGTTCTCAATGGACCCACTTCCACCATTACATGCTCGCATGGCTCATTCGGGCGTAACAGCTCCTCCGTCTATGGTTCCTGTACCGCCCGTTCGTGCTGCAAGCGTCTCTACTCCGATACGAAGGGGCTCAGCTGCACCTGCAGCTGTTGGATCTCTTCGCGGGGCACCACCACCTAGCAGTACGAAAGATATCAGTCCAAATCCGAGCGCTGATCCGACTAGCACTTCACCACTCAGACTGCCCCGGCGGTCAGCGACGGCGCTTGCAGGTGCACAGGAGCCACCTACGAGTAGTAGTGCGCCTGTGGCTCCAATCTCGCGCCCGAATTTTGTCCCGCAGGTTGGCGCTGCCCGACCGAGATCAAGGTCATTCTCGGGCTTTGGGGAAGCTGGAAATATTGGTGCTCTGCCTGAGCGAAGGTGAGTTTATTTTGAGAAGTGATGAAGAGTCGACGTTGATGAGCGATGTAGCCGTGAAGAATCAGAGTCCAAGGCGCAAAGCGTATCTGTGACTGCCGCCTCCACCCTTTCACCTTCTTCACAGGCTGCATCCATGTCTCCACTCACGCACAATGGTCTCCCAGCTTCTTTGAGGGCACGTCACATTCCCTCGCCTCTCTCCCTACAGAATGGCAACTTTAATCGTGAACGAAGTCCCAATACTGTCGTTTCTTCTACCGATACTCCATCCCCCAATGCAGGCCATCTCAAATCACCAGTCACCCCTGGTTTCCAGCAGCCATCTCCTATTCCGAGTGTCACGAAGTTCGGGCTGCAGCCTCCGTCTATAGGAAGCTCTTCGGCGAGCCCCGCGCCTAGCTCTAGTCCGAGTCTCTTTAGCGATCGTGACAAGGACGCATCGCCGTCATCTGCGATGACGGGACGCACATCAGTGACAACTAACAACATTGCTTCGCCACATCCTTGGGTAAGCAATGCTCGTCAAGAGTCATTGGACGCACCGAGGAAGAACTCCGTCGATAGCGCGCCTCCTCGACAGAGTTCTGATTCTACCGATTCGCATTCTCAAATGGCATCTCCACCTCCTATTGCGGAATGGCACTCACAGTCAACGCGGTCATTGCCCCTTGCACATGAAGTCCAACTTCGGGGAAAGCTCAGTCTCCCTGTACTTCGTGGTAAGATTAGCATCAAACCGAAGCTTGACGATACTGTGAGCGTGACGTCTTCGTTGGACGACCAGGAGAACGAAACTGTGCAAGTACAAGACATGGACTTTGAACTTGTGAAACCAACTTTACCGCAAGCGCCATTGGGTCGCTCCAGTCAAGAATCTTCGTATGCTGGACGTGATGCTGATGCAGTGCGCCTCGATTCCCCTGGTACCATGCAAGGTGATGCTGCGTCGATGCATTCGAGTGCCCCACGGTCCCCCATGTTCCCCGATGTGATCTCGTCGGGTACCCCACCAGTGGAGTCACCTACATCAATAGATGCTCACCGCCAACGTGAGATCAGGTGGATGGCCCTCTTACCTATGGTACCGCCATCTCAAGCACGCAGGAACAAGAAGGTCAAGCGTCTTTTGTTGGACGGAGTACCTTCGTCGGTACGATACTTGGTGTGGTGTCATCTCAGTGACAGTAAAGCTCGCGCGATTCCTGGCGTATATGGGCAGCTTGGCAAGAGGCAAAGAGTCCCTGCCTTTTCCGATATCGAGAATGATGCAAAAACATATTTCCCTGATCAAACACAACTGCATCCTTTCGATGGCCCTTTAGTATCACTCTTGCAAGCCTATCTCAATATGGTGCCAGATATCCAATATAGCTCAGGTACATCTTCGTTGTGTCCGAGCGTCGTATCGCTGCTGATGCGCATGATGTACGGTTGTCAGGGCTGACTTCCATAGCTGGTCATCTGCTGTTGCTATCACCCGAAGAAGATGCTTTTTGGATATTCGCTTCGATGATGGATGCCCATCTTCGTCCGTACTTCTCGGCAAATACCATCCAGTTGGAAGTCGATGCTGCATTGCTCAGCAAAGCCATCGAAACTAATGATCCTGCTGTGTGCAAAAAGCTGTATGTCACATTTAGCATCCCCCCTAGTGCGATAGCGAAGTCTTGGTTCGTATCAATATGCACCTCTGGGGTTTCATATTTTCTGATCTCGCACAGGTTTTCTACTCTATTTGTCGGAACACTGCCCATTGATTATCTTCACCGTGTCTGGGACATTTTCTTGTATGAAGGTACGTGACACACTTTTCCTTCTTTCGCCGCATTCACACTTTATTAGGCGTCACTGTTTTGTTTCGTGTTGGGCTCGCGCTCGTTCAATGCGTGCGACATCTGCTCTTGCAAGCGACATCGGAAGAAGCTGCTATGGAATACCTTGTTCATCCACCTCTCGCATGCTTACCCTCGACAGCAGACGCATTCCTTAATCAAGTCCTAATGATGAAGCTAAAAGATGACGATGTTCGAAAACAACGTATCAAAATGGAAGCACAAGTCAAGCGCCAAACTCAGTCCCGTACCAATGGTTCTTCAGGCATGCAGACTGCATCCATATCTCTCCCGAAAACTTTCTAAGCGTGTTGTTGTCCCAAGTTAGCTCACTTCCATTCTATGATAACCCTTCGCTTGTTATTATCACCGCAAAATCGCTTTGGACCGTATTTGTTTGCATAGGTCGTTCATTTATTGATTCCCCCACATTTACCTATGATACCGTAGTGAATTGTATATATTCCTGGCACTCTGCAGAGTATCCATAATGTTGTACTGCTTATAGTCTTGGTCCTGGCCGCTTAGTAGTGGTGCACTGCAGCACAACGTGGCAATTAGATGCAAATTAGATGTGGTTCTAGCTCGAGACTGGGTGACTAAAACGGCAGACGTCCGAGTGATCGTGCGGCTATAACTATATTTCTAGTGGATTTAGTCACTGCGCTGTAGGAGAGTGTCACCGTGACAGCTTGCTTGGACGGGCACACCTTGGACAATACATTTTTTAGGTGTTTCTGGAGTATTTTTCCCCCTTCATGTATGTAAGGAGATAATTGCATCGATAAGACTGATCTATGGCAGATGGGAGCCACCTTCTATTTCGGGTATTCCGTCATCGCCAGAACACTGCCACTGGCTGTAGCCCGGGGCTAGCCCATAGGCTTCACACGGCTTACTGTTGGCAACGTTGGCTCGCCACTGGCGGTAGAAACACTGAAGGAGAAACCGCACAGCTGATCATGAAGATCGCGACATCTTTTCCCAGCACAATGGCAACATGACGACCGGCACCCCATCCCAATAACGTGGTTCCACCGTCCACGTTGTTGTCCTTATAAAATTTCATCTGCTAAAATCTGTTCTAGGTTGAACTCCTCAGGCTTGGGCGTCGAGTAGATACTTTAGCATTGTCACCGTCGTGAAGGTCGCCTGTTTGGGAACATAAAGTGCGTTTCGTGTGAGATGCATTAACTCATTGGTGCAATATACTTGTCCTCATGAAGGGCCCTTTGAAAACTTAGCATGCGCAGGTGAGCATTTCAGGGATGCAGAAAGTGAGGATTGGCATCTGCGTTTCTGTCGTTGTCGCTCTTGAATGGCATCTGTTGAACACCTTCAAGTTGGGCGTCGAACAGAAATCAGCAGTGTCGTGAAGGTCACCGGTTGAGACGTGCCCTGTCGCATGCATGTTTGGTCCATGAAGATATCTCCTCGTATACTTCTCCTAGGATCCTCATGTAGGGCCCTTTGAAAAGGATGTGCAATGTTTCGGGAATATAGAGATTGAAGATCAGCGTCTGCATTTCTATGGAACGCCCAGAAAGGAGTGGTTTGGGAGTGTCCTCGTACCGTCCGGAGGATAGAGAGTCTTCACAATTGCCTGGCTTCGTTTTGGACGAGTGCCTTCCACTTTTAAATCAATAATTGCCAGAGCTGGCATTCGGAATATCGCTGAGGCTCCATTGAAATTAGAATCCCTATCGGTGACCCGGGGCAGTGTCACGACCTTGAACGACGTGTCACTTGCGGTTTAAAATAATGGACCCCATTAGCGGTTTTGACGCAGCCAGCTAGTCACGCTGCATTTGATGCATGCCAGTGTCATGTCACCTGGCCCATGTGCCGTAGATGTTTAAAAATTCCATCATCAGTAAGACTAGTTCACTCGGGCAGGTGCGTAACGATAAACGCTCTCCCAGAACAGCGCAAGGCTGGAAAGGATACATGCATATACAGCTACAGTACCTCTAGTGTCCTGATGTCCGTCAAGTAGCTAATAGAAGCTATGTCTTTAACTTGTGCAATGACATCATGTTCGGATGCGATCCTCTTGAATTCTCCGTCGCGCTGCCGCGCTAGCAAAAATGCACTAAACCGCTGTCCAAGGCGAACAATCAATCGCAATGCTCGCGAGTCAGAATACGAATGGATAGGCTCAGTTTGTGCAGCACGTGAATCGTGCAACAAAAATTCGGACACGGTCCAATTGTCCACGCTCTGCGTATTGGCTGCATTGTCACGCAGCCCGAGGAGATGACGACTCCATGGACGAACGAGCAAGATCGTTTGCCAGGCGGGCGGCGGCCTTGCCGGCGAGAACGGCGTGAACTTGTCTTCTGTGGTGATCTGTAGGTTGCGAAGCCCGTCTGACTTGAGTTCATACGTATATGTATTCTGGTCATGACCTGACCTCCGTCTGGCTTCTGTGATCGGGAATACGATGCAAGGCAGATGCAACCGGCGATGCACAAAACGGGGAGCGCTCTGGTAGTCAAGTGTCTGATATAATTGCGAAGCCGACTGTAAAGCCACAACACCTCGCAGCGAGGAGACCGATGCCTGAATCTCATCTTCGGATGGAAATGGCAGCTTGCATGGTAGAGCTTCGTATGAAGTGATGTCGGCTGGTAGACAGCTATTGAACTCTGATGACCTTCTGACCCAGTCCAGCGCAGTAATATCACCGGACTGAGATATGATTTCTTGCAGGAGCCACCCGAGCGCGTTCTGCTTCTTCTCGCTATAATCAACATGCAGGCGGATGCCAAAGACCCCGAATAACGAGTATGCGATGTCTTCTGGCAACGTGGTAGTACGCGTCGACGCCCACTGGAGTTTCTCTCGGGCGTTTCTCATCCCGGGACGGAAAGCCACGACTGCTCGTCGGTCTATACCCGTCGCATCCTCCAACTCTTGCATGATCGCGACGGAATCCTTGTGATTGAAAGTGCGATCGTCGAGATAAGGAGTCCAATCATTCTGATAGAAGAGAATGACTTTGGGAGCAAGGAATTCTTGGACCGTCCATCCGCGGGTGTTCCAAGCGCTCTTTCCCAGTGCGCCAGGCTTTGACAAAGGCGGAACATCCGAGAGGTATACGACTGTGAGCGCGGAGTGGTGATACCAGTCGAACATGGACTTGACCGATGCTTGGAGCTCAACATCGATGTTCTTGTCGATACATCATGTATCGCTCCATGGTCAGCGATACCCCAAATCACGAACAATTTTGCAAAAGGACTGCAACTTCCTGATGCCGCCTACTGGATCCAACTTATAGACGTCCTTGCCCTGAATGTCCTGCAGCAGCGGCTCCTCGCCTTCCCACCTGTGCGATAGCATGACATATTGGAAATACGTCATCACCACTTCTTCGACGCGCTTCATTTGGATATCTCGATACGTGATTGCTGATGATGGGAGCTCCTTGTACTCTACACTCGTTTTGAAGGTGCGTATCTGCGTCTCTCGATCGCATAAGAGACCGGTGGTGGTGTCAAGTACACGCAGCGGAGAATTGTCAAGTTGAGTATCAATGACTTTTTGAATAGCACGGTCCACTTCGAGTGGATCGAGATACTGCTGGCGCAACTCTACAGAAACAGTCAAATCATGTTGACCCATGAGTCATCTGAGGCTTACTTCGTGTCTCAATGTCAGGAGCGTTATCTGACTTTGAGAGCATGATTCTGAATGCCTGTATCGCTTCATCATAACGCTGTGCGCCATGAAACGCTGTATACTCCAAATTGTATCCAATATGAGAGGAAGGGTTGAGTTGAATGACCTGTGTATCACCACATTGAGTATAAGTGAAGAAAGAATAAATGCCATCGCACCTTTTGCGCGTCGAGAAGCGCATCCTCCCATAGCATTTTCCCCAACTTTGCCTTACTACGACTTGCAAAGACAACATCGGATGGAGAAGTTAGGTCGATCGCGGCTGAGTATAAGTCAATGGCCCTGTCAAAATTACTTGCAGCGAGGGCAGCATCTCCGCTGGTAAGAAAGGGTGCGCTGCATTCTTCAGTAAAAGCTGAGTGAAATAGGGGTGAGAATTGTAGCCTGCGCGACATCATGAACTCCAGACTTGCCGTTGGACCATTGAAGGCAGCCGGCCTTCGTTGTTTCGATATTGTCCTCATGTATCGGTATGATTTGACGGCATCTTGGGGTTTACCTGCCCGAAGGAATGCATCACAACGTTTCTGGTTTGCAGTGAGCCGCAATGATTTGAGATCCCAACCGAAGAGCTGGACAAGTGACTCGGTTATGGCAAGGATTTCGGATGTGTATTCACGTACCAATACCAAGTCCTCCTACACAAAATGAATGGATAACCTCCATGAGAGCGCTCGAGTTGAGAACGGCGGTGAAATGGTCAGCAGCTTCTTCGTAACGTGCACCATCCAAGGCCTTGATTTTGAGTTGAACACGCAGATATGTCTGATGTGCGAGTTGCAAAGATTAGTGTAGATGACCAAGCGTGGACGATACTTACTTGCACGATGCAACACCCGAGAGTATCGACATTCGGACAACCAGCAGCGAGTCCTTTGAGGAGCAAGTTTGCCTCGTCCTGTTGATCTGCATTGAAAAGAGCGATGGCCTACAATACGCGATGAAGCGGAACGTAGGTGAGACAAATGTAACGTACTTTGATCAAGAGAAGGAAATGGATGATTTGTGGATCTTGGTCCGTGTACATTGATGCAACATCAAACGCTGCCCTCCCATCCGGGACAAAACCTTTTCCGCAGAGGGCAATGCCCTTGGAGATGTATCCCGTCAATGAGGGCCGAATGCTGATAGACTAATTCACCGTCGGGTGAGCCCTTTGTAAGGGGGCCATGATCAGTGCGTATGATTGCATCCTGAAGGGCGCGGTCCCAGTTATATTGTCGAGCCATCACGAATGAGCGATGAGCATAGGAAGTGTGGTTGTTCACATTGGTGTTGATATCTTGCGTGAGCAGGCTTTCGGCGGTAGATAAGTCCCCATCTATGCATGCAATGCGGGCTACTGTTATGGCCAGGATCTGCACGAAACATGCTCGAATTGTGGTATACGAGTCAAGGACGGAAACGTGCCTTCTGATGAATACCCTGAGGTACTGCCCACTCCGAGATTGTCTTATCTTGACCTCCGTTGAGAATGTGATTGCCATCTACCGGGAAAGTGACGCAGAACGGCCTAGATGAGTGCTTGAATATGGCAACAGTTTGTTGGTCTGAGAGGCGCCAGAGACGGACATGATTGTCATAAGATGCGGATGCGACGAGTGTGCCAGTGGGATGAACGG